GAGACGGGAAGGTACGAGCTTGGAGCTCTTTTCCGTAAGCACAATTAAGTAATTATAGTCTGTTTCTTTTTATGTTTTCTTCATGCCCAGGCTCGATGAGGGCAGATTTATTTATTTTTTGGGCCCGTCCTAGTGTCACAATTTTTTTTTTTTTTTTTTTTAAGTAATATAACGTTACTGAACACTTGTGGCAGCGATCATAATTTATAACTAAGCACTTGCTTACGGCATTTGCAGCCTGTATATATATATATATATATATATATATATATATATATATATATATATATATATATATATATATATATATATATATATATATATATATAGAGAGAGAGAGAGAGAGAGAGAGAGAGAGAGAGAGGCGTGACTTGTTGGTGACATGTTTCCCTGTTATGATTTCCCATGGGACATCTGAGTCAGTCCCTACAACGGCTCGTCCCCATTCTCTCTAAGACCATTCATGGACATTATTTTTGATTTCTGGAAACACTAATATAAATCTTAAAAAACTGTAAATCTCTCGTGAAACACTGTAATATTTTTGTTATGAGATGTCTAAAGCTGTTTGGACTGAGATTAGGATTTTGGGAAAGTAAATTTGAAACAGATAAACACAGTTTGTTTGGAACTCTGTCACTGATACGGAAGCAATGACAAGTAGGACTGGACAGAGTTGGGTGTCAAAGAGAAAGTTTGAAGAAGGAGGAGGAGGAGGAGGAGGAGGAGGAGGAGGAGGAAGAGGGGGAGGAGGAGGAGGAGAAGAAGAAGAAGAAGAAGAAGAAGAAGAAGAAGAAGAAGGAGAAGAAGAAGTTACAAAAAAGATAAAATAAAAAAAAATGAAGATATGTGAAGTTGTTAATAATAATAATAATAGTAATAACAATAATAATAATAATAATAATAATAATAATAATAGTAATAACAATAATAATAATAATAATAATAATAATAATAATAATAATAATAATAATAATAATAATAATAATAATAATAATAATAATTCTCCTCTTCTTCGTCTACATCTTACATTTTTATTTAATATTTTTTTCATTTAATCGTTACCGGAAAGCAGCTGCAGTACCTAAATATATTACGTAAGAAAAATGAACAATTTTGAAGTGATAGTTTGGTCCGAGTTAAGATGAAATATACCTTATTTGGACCGGGAGATTGTGAAAGCTTACCCCTATGGGATTTAAAGTAAAGGAGAATAAATTCAATTGTAATATACAAAGGACAGAAACATAAGACAAAAAATAGGATTAAGTAAATTGTTGTTAGGTCACACACACACACACACACACACACACACACACACACACACACACACACACACACACACACACACACACACACACACACACACACACACACACACACACACACACACACACATATATATATATATATATATATATATATATATATATATATATATATATATATATATCCTAAATACTTACTAGAATTAATTATTAGCACTCTCCTTTACTGATGCACTCGCCGGAGCTTGGAGGAAATCGCTGAAGGCAGTCTTCGTCACTAATTTTCCTGATCCATCTTTTCACGTGGCGGGTTGCTTAATTATAGCGATGCCAGAAACTCTCTGTTTGGTCATAAGATCGACTGACTGAGGCATATTTTTTCTTCATTTGATGCTTCACTTAATTATAGTGTTGCCAGATTCTGTCTGCTTGCTCGTAGCATCGACTGACTGAGGCATTTTCCCTTTTCAAGTGGCGTGTCAATTATTGCCAAATTCTCTCTGCTTGCTCGTAGCATCGACTGACTGAGGCATTTTCCCTTTTCAAGTGGCGTGTCAATTATTGCCAAATTCTCTCTGCTTGCTCGTAGCACTGACTGACTGAGGCCTAGTCTCGCTGTAAGAATCGAAGTCAGCTCAACTCCTACGTTGATGGCATCGAAGTATGTATGGGGGCTATCTTAATGGGGCGCTGTGACAGGTTTTACATCTCTGTGAATTATCTATATTTCAACTCTACTTAGAACAGTGTGGTAGAGTCTTTTGTCCAAAACGCGCGTTCCTTTATATTAAAATCAGGTGGTTGTAGGATAATCTCTTCTCCTCTTACGTTGACTCTGAAGTTCTTCTAACTTGACGATTTTGCGGGTTCTCAATTCATATATATATATATATATATATATATATATATATATATATATATATATATATATATATATATATATATATATATATATATATATATATATATATATATATATATATATTGCAATAGCACAAAGGCTCCTTAACACATGTAGAGAAATTATTGGCTCAGGATATTCTATCAGCACTTTTAATAGATGTCATTCAGCACCTGTTAATATATTAGTATCCGAAGTCTGCATATGACACTTGAATTAGAAGTAATAATAAAAACACCTGCAAATAATTTCAATATCTGTAGATGTAAAGCGACACTTACATATATACTTGGGCAAATATTTTACAGACAGTGAGAAGTATGGTGAGAAC